GGACAGTGTCCATCCATCCATCCCATAGGGACAGTGTCCATCCATCCCAGTGTCCATCCATCCATCCCATAGGGACAGTGTCCATCCATCCATCCCACAGGGACAGTGTCCATCCCATCCCACAGGGACAGTGTCCATCCCATCCCACAGGGACAGTGTCCATCCATCCATCCCACAGGGACAGTGTCCATCCATCCCATAGGAACAGTGTCCATCCACCCCATCCCATAGGAACAGTGTCCATCCACCCCATCCCACAGGGACAGTGTCCATCCATCCCATAGGACAGTGTCCATCCATCCCACAGGGACAGTGTCCATCCATCCCATAGGACAGTGTCCATCCATCCCACAGGGACAGTGTCCATCCATCCCAGTGTCCATCCATCCCATAGGGACAGTGTCCATCCCATCCCATAGGACAGTGTCCATCCATCCCATAGGACAGTGTCCATCCATCCCCTAGGACAGTGTCCATCCACCCCATAGGAACAGTGTCCATCCATCCCATAGGGACAGTGTCCATCCATCCCATAGGACAGTGTCCATCCATCCCCATCCCAGTGTTCCCAGGGAATGGTGGTCCCAGTGTCCCTCCCCAAGGCTGCAACATCCCCATGGGATGGAGGGAACACCAGGGACAACGTCCTTACCCACCCCACCCAAAGGCCATCCCAGAGTCTGTCCCAGGGCTGGAATGTCCCCAGGGAATGGTGCTCCCAGAGTCCCTCCCAAGGCTGGATCCCCCCATGGACACTCCCCATCTCCAGGGACCCTTGGGAACACCAAATCCCGGGAAGGGGAAGGGAGGGGACCCCGGGGAGGGGAAAAGGGAAGGGAGGGGACCCCGAGGGGGGGGTGCTGAGGGCGGTGTCCCCACCTTGGACAGTGAGGGTGACCTCGGACTTGGCGATCTGGCTGCTGTCCCCCACCACCTCACAGATGTACTTCCCAGAGTCCTCCCGAGTCACCGAGTCAAAGTGGATCGAGGTGGGAGAGAACCGGACACGGTTCCGGTACGGCTCTGGGGGGG